GTTAGATAATAAATTGACAATCTATTATATAATAATAAAGGTTTATTTTTATCAGTACATTTTACACTTTTTTAAATCACTGCAATTTTCAGATATAGATCGAAGATATCTTAGGAATTATAAATTGTATTACTGTATAGAAAATGAAAACCATTGTGAGTCTGGAGAAATAAAATATTTTTATTTATTCTATTTTTATTAAATAAATTAGTCAGAAAATAAATCTGGTGTCAACTGTAAAAAGTTCATTTACAAGGTTGTACCTTATGTGATTGGCATTTTGGCGAAATGGATGCTCCAGACAGAGCAATATTTGCAGCTGCTTTTGTATCCCTTCCTCGTGTTGTGTATTTGATCATTCTCGCTGGACAATGGGGATGAATGCATTCAATAGAATAATCCGACAGGTTCAGTGGAGAATGAAGTGTTCTACTTTTAGGGAACAGTCAAATTAGCGAATTATGGATTATATGACAAAAGGGGAAGCTAATGTAGACTTTCCAATTGGGTAGAAAGATTGATGATTTTTTCAAATATTAAAATTCCTATAACAATTTTTTTTAAATCAATTTTTCACAATATGACCTTTCTCCAGAAACAATCTATTGTTCAACGTTCAGCAGATAAACCCGAAACTATTGGGACACACCAAATCAGTAGAAGTATTAACCAAGAGAACAAATGGAAACCGCGGATTTATTGCTTAATTAAACAATTAAGCAAACAGTAATCAGACCAATTTCCTCAAAAACTATTAATTTTTGAAGTATTTATTTATTTTTTAATAATTAGTTTATTGGCAAATATTCCCAAATCGACTTCACTAGTTTTGATTTTACTGAATGCAAAACCAAAATTGATTTCGAACTTCAAATAATACACCTTCATATATTGGAATGGCAATCGCTATCATAGCTTGAGAGGAATATTAAACCGACTACGAGCTCCAGTTCCAGCACCTCCAGCAAGCTTAAGCATACCGCGATTTTTTTTTTAATTAAGGGTTTTTGAGAGATGGAAATATTTGTTATTGCAATTGAAAATAAAAATTATATTTAGAATGTTAATTTTATTGAATCCTTTTATTACATGAACATAATTATGTTTATTATAATCACAAAATTATTAACTTAACAGTATAAAAAGGAAAATAATAAAATCTCGCTTTTTGTAACAAGTCTACACCTGATAAATATTGAAATAAATAAGTCAAATAGGATTTCTTTAATAATGAAAAAAAAAAAATTACTCTTACAATAAAAATTATTAATAAAAAGAGCAAAATAAAACAATATCTGAATTTTTTGATTTTTTTTTTAAAAAAAAGATGAAATAAAAAAAAAAAAAAAAAAAATGAGAATCTGATCTAGTCTTTTTTAATTTTCTTAATTTTTTTAGGTGTAATATTATCTTCGTTATCCAAATTAATGCATTCTTTAGATTTTCGAGAATTACAACCTAAAGTGAATGGTGTCTTTTCAACCTTATTTTGAATTTCTTTTTCCCAATCAAAGCATTCTTGTGATTCTTTAGAATCAATATCATAAGTATCATTGGACTTTAATAAATTAGGATCTATAAATTTTAAATTTAATAATTAATTATTTATTTAGAATTTATAATTAAAATAATGATAATCATGATAAAAAAAAATATTACCTTGAACTCTTCCAGATTTTATATCTTCTAAAGAATTATGCAATCCATGAAGAGTATGAATACTTCGGCTAATATAGCAAGATTGTGGATAAGACTCGCTTGAAGATACAAATTGTTCTAGAGAATTATAATCTATTTTAAAATAGGTATCTAAATCGACAAATTCCCAATAGAAATTCAATATTACATCATATAATTCTTTGGCAGTTGGTCGTTCAGAAGGGTCACCACTCCAGCATTTATACATTAAATCTGAATAGCGTTGTGGTATCCAATCCATAAAATCAGGAATTTTTGGTCTTATTCCATTACATATATCAATTATTAAACGGGTATCATGTGCTCGATCATAAAATGGTTGTGTTCTAGTTGCCAATTCATACATAATTCCACCAAAACTATAAATATCACCCTTTTTTGTGAATTCATTTCCTAATAAAACTTCGGATGGAATATATGGAATTGATCCATAAATATTTTTACTTTTATTATCAGATTTTAATATTAAATCATTTTCCAAACTACATAAACCTAAATCTGTAATTGATGCACCACCACCTGAAATTATCAAAATATTTCCACTATGTAGGTCATGATGAATAAAAATTTTTTTGTGTAAGTTTCTAAGACCAGTTGTCATGTCTAATAAGTATTTTTTCCAATTTAAATTCCAAGATCTATTTCTTCTTGATATCATTATAAATTTATGTAAACTATAATGATTTAACTTCATAACAATAATGTAATTTTGGCTAAAGGGATTTTTTGACATTCCAAAACATTTTGTGATATAATGCAAATCATTCATAGTAATCAGATTCTTAACCTGAAATTTAATAATAATAAAAAAAAAAATTAATTTAATCGCATAAAACATATCTATATTGTCAAAAGGTTTAAAATAATTTATAATCTAAATAAAAAGAAACATACCTCTTTAAGAAATTTAGATATATCATGCCTAGAGTCATTTATTTCTTTTAAAGCAACTCTTTTATATACAAAAGAATATTCCCAATCCTGTTTATTTAAATTCCAATACGATTTAATGCCATTTTTTAATATAGCAGAATACACAGATCCATATCCACCATCTGCTATATGTTTGATACCTAGAAAATTATCATATGGTATCCATTGTAATCTATTTCCATAATATCCTTGATGATTTTTTTGAGATTCTTGGACAAATTTATCAACTTCAGCATTCCCACTAGACCAAGTTCCGAACTCTTGAATAAAATGTTCTTTAATACATGAATCACAAATTCCAGTAGATGTATTAATGTATTTATTCTTATTGTAAGAATGACCAGCTGGACAATAGATTTCTTGAGACATGGAAAATAAAGAAATACACGTTATTTGTGTTATTGAATATTTTTTAGTCCGATATTTAAATAATACAGGTGCGGAACTTCTATAACCAACAAAAAAAAATTTTGCTTTTTTTTAAATGTATGTCGTGTGGTCTAAAAGAAGTAACTCGAAATTTATCCGTTATAAGCTATCAATTTTATCGGTTTTGATCAAAAAATTTTAAAATCTGCTTACGCTACGAAGATTTGAGAATCGTCCTATTAAAAAACAAAATCGAGATTAAAAAATACGATAGATTTGAGTTTTATTTATTGTTAAATGCACGTAATACAAAAATAAATAGATTCCTTTAAACAAACGCACTTAAATAAAATTTGATCAAATAATCCAATTATTCTCAATTATAAAATTAAAAATTTTATAAGTTCCTATTATAGAGATTCCGCTATGTTTACATATGTTTACATCATTGCATTGATCCCACAGATCTATATATGTTCGGTCCCATGAAAACTCCCGAAAATTGAATTTATACAATAATAAAAATAGAATCCGAATATATCAGGCGCTCCGCATATAAAATATTTGCTCCTCCATTGTTCTTAACCGATAGTTACTATTATTAAATAGTTGTGATATTGATAACCCGAAATTGCCTTTCTTATCACAATTATTCTATATAATTATTATGATTTTATTCATTATTGTGTTATAATTTTTTTTTATATTTATGAGTTCAAAATAAAGAATATATTAAGAGATATTTATAATACGTGGAAATAGGAATGACAATCAGTCCAATAGGTCAAAACACAAAGTACATAATACTATTATTATTGTTATCGTCATCTAAATAAATAAATAATAAATTTTACTATTTATTCAAATTTATTATTATTATTATTTCGAAAAAAAAGCAATAAGATTACGTTCATTTGTTATAGTTGGATATCCTCAAATTGTTAAAGGTGTTTTTTTTTTCAATTAATCATTCATGACATGATTTATAAATTTTATTTATTTTAATAACTTTATTCATTCATTCATTTATTATATCAAATAATGAAACGATATTTATTATAATGTTTCATTGCATTGATCGAGATGGAGATTAATTAATTGAAACAGATTTATACTTCGAATTAAATTATTATACTTTTAAAATTAAATCAATAGGTACAAATTTTTGCAGGAAGTAGTTATATTTAATCGATATCATCATCTTAGGACAGATCAAATTTGTTTTAACTGTGTTGGATAGGAAAAAAATGCTGTATAAACTTGAAATTTTAAGTCTGGAACTGTTTTCACCTGTTACTAGAAAAAATGATATCTCTACCTTTTTTTATATTTCTTTTTTTTATTTGGTGGCCAGATGTACACTCCCCGGTCAAAAGTATTGGACCAAAGAATTTTTTTAAAATTTATTGGTATTTTTCAAAAGGTAATTATGGCACAACTAGTAATCTAAATGACATAAATTTTTTTTTATTTGAATTCCTTGATCAAGGGCTATCAATTAATATCTTTTTTAATAAAGATAAATACATATTTGTGCAGCAATTAAGTTTCAAATAAAATTAATCAAAAATAGTAAATTAATTTTTTGAAATAAATATTAGTCGATCTTGATGAATATTGATCATAAATATGAATTTTTTTATATAGACTTGTAGCTAATAACTAGAGCTATAATTTTTATTAATACCATATTTAGCATTTTCTAGTAAAAATCAGAAGTTTACTTAGACACGACTAAAAACGATCGAAATTATTAAAAGTTTGACTTAACATC